GACCTGGCTGGCCCTGAGTTTTGCGATGTGCAGTGAGAATGGAAATAAGTTCTAGTTGTGCTTCCAAGAACAGGCACGTTTGGTAAGGGCTGAATGTTTTCCTTCCCTCGTCTGTGCCTTTCTTTACTGATCAGCTGTATAAAACTGAGAAGCAGCAGAACTGTTGTGCTAAAGAATCTGGCCTACGCTTTTGTCCTGTATTTAAACTCAGCCTTTTCCATGGTTCAGTGAGGTTCAGCCAGCTTTGGGTGTTTTCTGTTTTTATTTCAGCTTTCCAATTTCCAAGCAGGGGCTCTAGTACCCATTCCCCTTTTGATGTGCTGTGCTCAGGGCTGTTCCAGCATCTCACAAACTGGGGGTCTCAGCTCCCCTCACACTGGGGTGCTCTCACTTACCCCTGAGGGTCTGTGGACCCTTTGGAGGTGAAATCCAAATAAATAGCTACTGGTGAGTGTGCAGGCCTGAGTCTGACTGAGACAATGTGGAAATGCTTTGGAAGGAGGAGTCCACTTTTTCTACAGGTACCAAATTCAGGGCCAAAAGGAATTTGCAAGTCTTTCCAAACTGTCTGCAGATCCTTGTCTGCCTCATCTCCCTTCCTGTGCAAATGTTTGGTGATGCATAGGTTTAGAGTGGCAAGGTAGATTTTGCTACAGGCACATAATTCTTGGAGTAGGATGTAGCATAAATCCACAGACATTCCAGCTGGGCTTTGCATGTAGCCTGGAATACTGGGGACATGGGTTAGCAGACATGGTGGTGAACCATGATGGTTGGACTAGGTGATCCTAGTGGTCTTTCCCAACCATATTGACAGCCTTCCCCATCCTAAGCACTGAGCTGTCTCTGTGGGATCACCTGGATCTGGCTGCCACATGGTGTTGACTGTCACTTCTCTCTACTGCCACTTGAAAAGCCATCCTGCCTGCCCCTGACAAGGCAGAACAGCATGTCCCCCAGGGCACTGTGTTGTCACTGCCATCACTGTAGTCATTCCCACTGTAGAGATAAGAGAGCCTTGTCAATGAGAATACATGGGCTCACCAGAGAGAGGCAAGATCCCCAGCTCCACTACCTGGCACAAACCTTCATCTCCTTTCACCATCGGAGGTGAAGCAGCTGGCATGCAGCCCAGCAGTTCCATATGCTCCCAGCAGGGGCAATGGCTGTACGTTCTCTTGCTCCAGTTCTTTTCCTGTGCTGCATTCTGGTAGCCAGTAGGAGAGCTGCAATGGCAGCAGAATCATTTCTGTACTTTCCAAATTTGCTTGTCAGCTCTTTCCTGCTCTTCAGATGGGTGTGTCTAACAGAGAAGGATTTGGGGCATAAACTGTGCCTTTTTGCTCCAGCCACTGCTTCTATTCAGAGTTGGCGGAATAGATTTGTTTCTGTAAAAGCCAGTATTGTTAGTGTCCTTTAAACACCATGACAGAGGATCTAGCAGTGTGTGGTGCACTCTCAGAGCTGATGCTCTGAGCTCTGTGTATGCAGCTATGGGGTGTGCAAATCCACCTGCTCAGGGAATAAAGCACTGTACTCACATGCAAGCATTCCCAGCTGCCAGAGCAGGCTCCAGCCTGTGTGATAGGTGGGCGAACGCATGGGGACTGCTCAGCTTCATGCAGGCTCCAGGGACCTGCAGGTAGGCTGGGCACAAGATGCTGTGCTTGTCCTTATCTGGAGTGAGAATGGAGGTGTTCCAATCAGTTCCCACTCAGCAGCAAGGGCACTGCAGCTGTTATAGTTATGACTCCTTGTGTGGACTTCCACCTCTTGCATTTAGGAGAGGAATGATGCTTAGTGTTCCACCTGTGACCTAGTGTGGAGGTTTAGTTAATTATTTGCTCACTGTTAATAAAATCAGTGATTCTAGAGCCAGACACAAAATTCTGCATCTTCTCTCCATCTTTGAATCTGTCTTTCTATCTGTAGACCTCAGAGTGCTTGCTCCCTGAATGGGAATAAACCTCAAGATTCCTTTCTTCTAATGAATGAATAAAGGAGCCCAGCTGCTCCTTCTTATCCTATCTAACTCCAAATGTGAATATTTTTTTAAATGATGGCCCTGTGCTTCTTCCTGGGCTGCAGCAGACAGGAGGCAGAAGGCTGCAACAGCCAACCTGGAAAACCAGCAGAACAGCTTCACCATGTGTGGAAAAAGATACCAGGACTGTAGGGTTGCTGCTGCTGATGGGGTCCTGAAGATGTGCAGTCTGGATGGCGCAGCAGCTCCTCCTTGGTAAGAGATGCAGCCAGTGCTTCCCACACCAGGCCTGAACTTCAGGGCTGCTACTGAAGCATCAAACCACATGCTGCTAACAAAGTGCACTAGGGAAACAGCCACGTGCCAGCAGTGTTCATGGGTTGTGCTGACCATATAGGTGTCTCGCAGCCTTGTAGGGTACTGTGCTATTTCTGTGGGATCTGCCTTTGCTCAGGGGAATCACAGCAGATGCTGTGTGAAGGAGACATTGCTTTGAGCTGAGCCCAATGCTTCTGTGTGCATTGGAGATGCCCTGCTCTCCCCTGCCATGTGGATGTGCCAAACTGAATTCAATTCAAATTAAATTTCATGGTTAAGTTTGTATACAGAGAAGACTTTAAGTCCTCATCTTTCCAAAACAGCCAGTTAGGAACAACCCAGATACATGCTGTGAACCCACAGTGTGGCTAAAAGCCTGTTCCCTGTGGGGAGGGATCAATGGACATACTGGAGTCACTGCAGGGTCACCTGGCCACCACAGTGCCCAAGCACACAGTGTGCTATGGGTTCTCCCACCTGAGATCCCAGAGAAATATGTGCTGGCACCAAAAAGGCATTTCCCCTTGTGCAGGGATCCAGAAAGAAACTATGGCAGAGCATCACAATGCTGGGAACCCTCAAGACTGGCTGTCCTATGCTGCCTGCTGGCATCTCTGGTGGGTGACTCAGGCATGGCAGTACTGGTGGTACTGCAGATAGATGAGGCACTGGGAGAAGCCAGCAAATCTCTTTCCACCACAGTGAGGGTGAGGGAGGAGCCAAGAATAGCAGAGGAGGCACTGAGCAGTCCTGTCAGGCTTGTAAGGCTGCAGCGATGCTCACATTACCTCCTTGTCATGGAGATCTTCATAATATGTAACTCAAGGTCTCGTTAGATTTGATTAGAAACAGACACCCCAAACTTTGCATTGAAACTTTGAGGCCATCTCCAGTTACAGGAAGTCTGGACATATCCATATGCAGATGTATGCAATTTGTTTCACTTCAGCATTTAGCATGACTGGTTTGAGGTCAGGGATCCTGTTCCCAGGGAATGGCAGTTGCTCCTCTGGATGTGGAGCAAAGGGATGTGCATGCCATCCTTGTGGGCTGCCTCCAGCCCATCTTCTGCCTGTGGACAGCCAGTGGCTGAGCCCTAGAGGTGAGGGGAAGTAGCGGGGAGCAGCCAAGGGATGGCCTTAGGGCCTGTGATCCTGCTGCAGGGGTCCTGGGGAGTACTGGAGGCAGCCAGCATGAAGGCATGGATGGAAGTGTACTCAGCTTTGTGACATACTAAATTAAAAAAAGAAATGGAGGTAACAGTGTAACAGTGATAGGATGAGAGATAGTGACTTCAAGTTGTGCCAGGGGAGGTTGAGGTTGGATGTTAAGAAAACCTTCTTTTTGGAAAGAGAAGTGAAGCATTGGAACAGGCTGCTCAGGGAGGTGGTGGAGTCACCTGGAGGTGCTCAAGAAACATGTAGATGTGGCACTGAGGGATGTTGTTAGTGGGCACGGTGGGGATGGGCTGACAGTTGGACTTGGTGATCTTAGTGGTCTTCTCAAGCCTTAATGATTCTGTGATTCTATGAATTAATGAGTATATTGGTAGAGCATGTGACTGATACACTCAGTGCCCAGGGTGATGAATCCTTCTCAGAACCATACCAAAGCACTGAGAATGACAGACAACATGAAGCTTGTTTGAGCACCTCAAGAGTCTGAAAGAGCAGCAATAAATCCTTCTTCTGAAAATCCATTAGAGTAGTAGAGGCAAATAGCTCCCACACCTCCAGCATCAATTCCAGTCCTGGCCACTTCTCTGCACTAATTAGTGCAGTTTCTTTCATGTCTTATCCTCCCATACTCAACTTTGTGTCTTCCTGCCTTTATGCCCAAGAGCAGTAGCCACATTTCATCCTTTTCATTTCAGCCAAGTTACATCAACTCAGTACTTCAGCTGTGAAGGTAAGTGCAGACCTCCTCACAAATCCACCTACTTCATGCTTTTCCTAGGAAGCCATGGCCAAGCTGTTCCCTAAACAGCAAAGCTACACATAAGTGATGAATTAGGCTGAATGAAGTTGTAACAGAAGATAAATGCTGGAAAAAAAATAGGGATTTCCAGACACTTTGGCAAAGATGTCTGGGTAAATGACCTTGGAGATGACATTGCAAAATTCTCCCAAGGGAAAGCTCCTTCTAGGGAGACCATTAGATGTTGGAATCATTTCCCAGAAAGGTTGGTCTTGGACACATTCAAAAACAAGCTAATATGAAATTAGGAAAAAAAAAAAACAACCAAAAACAAGGCAGGTGTTGTGTTCTTGCATTGGTAAGGAGGGTTTGAGCAGCAAGTATTTCTGCAGCCTTTCTATATAGGTTCTGCAGGAGATGAAGGTGAAGGCAGTGTTTCTCTATCATGTACCAGACTGGGGCTTTCTGCAGGTGTTCTATATTAGCCCTCTGTGTAGTGATGGGCACTGCTTTGCCAACGGCAGTGTGAATCCTCACAGTAGGCTGTGGGGTTGCCTGGAGTGCAACCAGGATGGGGACATGTGGGGACACATGCTCATAGAGTAGCACCCCTTGTACCTAGTCCCAAACACAGACTCTAATTTTCCCTGTGTCTTCTCATCACCATCTGTTTGTTTCTATTAAAGGCTTTTCCCATTGCTGGAGCTTTCAGTCTAAACAATCAATTGGCCATAAGATTTACGCACGTTTTCTTCTCTCTTTCTCCTTCCAAACCAAACAGGTAAGGAGAGCAGCTTGGGAGAGGCTGACTTGCAGCCCAACGCTGACCCCTCGGGCATGGACAGCAGCTACCTCAGCGTGAAGGAGGCCGGAGTGAAAGTCCCTCAGGACAGGGCCAGCACGGACCTCCCCAGCCCCATGGACAAAGCGGACTCGGAGAGCAACAAGGGCAAAAAACGGAGGAACCGTACCACCTTCACCAGCTACCAGTTGGAGGAGCTGGAAAAGGTCTTCCAGAAGACCCACTACCCAGATGTTTATGCCAGGGAGCAGCTAGCCATGAGGACAGACCTCACTGAGGCTCGAGTACAGGTAACAGCAATGCCTTGGGCTGGGCTAGGGGTGGGTGAGCCTTGAGCCCCTTGTCTTTGAGCTGAAGGGGCGATGGGGTGGGTGAATCCCTCTGCCTCAGAGGGCCAGGAGAGATGAGTGGATGTGATGCAGTCTCACAGCTGCCACCAGCAAGATGTCAGCTCCCTGCTGCTAACCTGGGTGTCCAATCCAGCCAAACCCCAAAACGAGAGAATTTAAGTGCTGCTATTCCCCCTGAATCCATATTAACCCAAAGGTTTAGCAGAGCTTAGAAGCATATGCAAAACAGAGAACCGCTTCTCAGAGTAGACATCTATAACTCATGTTTTGATGGCCACCTAAGGCTGCTGGGAAGTTAGGACATCATTTTGTCATCTGGTTAACTCTGTGACTCCTGTTTTCAGGCATTCATTGCACCACCACCACCTCTACAATTCACATTAGCATCAGGAATATCTGGAGTGGGAAGGAATCTGGTTATACCTCTCAAACCAGGAACCCTGCTTGTTTTCTGCTCTGAACCCTATAAGCACTTGTCACAAACAAAGCAGTTAGGCCAGCATCCTTGTGCACATTAATTCTAGGTTCATTCCTAGCTGCGGGACTTTTCTCATCCACTTGTCCAGACCAGTCTGCAGGGCTCCGTGTTCTTTCCTACAGCTTTTCTGCTCATATCAGCTGTGGCTGTGTCTCAGCAGAAAGGGGAGAGGCTCCTGTTAGTTCTGTGGGCAGCATCCCCATACCTGGCTTTCCTCTATATCCAGGCAGTGCTGTCCCTCCCCAGCAGCACCATTCAGAGCCCTGGCACAAGGGATGGGGCAGGATGAGATGATGGGGCTCCATGTCTGGGCAATGCAATGCCTCCTCTACCCCCCTTCAGAGCCAGCACTCCAATTGCTAGGACTGCTAAGGAGATCTTTTCAGTGGTGCCCCTGTGATGTGGCAGGGGCTTGAAAGTAAGAGGGAAATGTCAAACTTGGCTGTAGCGAAATCACTGCCTTGGAGGAGGAGAAGAAAAAAAAAGAAAAGCAAAGCAAGAAGTAATATATCTTGATCCCTTTTCCCCCATAAAACCCTGGGAGGCTGGTGGAAGGAGCGGAAAGACTGAGCTAAGCCTGCAGGAAATTAAACATGAAATGAAAACAAGCTCAAGTTATTCAGTTCTCTCATCCCAGGCTCCAATTTCCCATTCCAGGCCACTGATAAAATGGTGTCCAGTTTCAGCGCTCAAAGATGAATTCTGGCTCTGTTCTTGCAGGCTGGAAGGCAAAGGGCTGGTGACCATCTCTCACAAGAGGGCACACAGCCTGGCCATCAGCATTGGGATAGGCCTGGAGACAGATGGACAAACAGCAGAGGCAGGAAGGGGCAGAGGTGGGGATAGTGGCCACTGGAAGGGGAAGGTAGAAGGGAGGGGAGCTTGCTTTAATCTTTCACTTGGCATTAGGACTGAAGTAATGGGCAGCCCTGGGGCAATCCCAGGGACTCAGTGGTGTTGTGGCCCCAGCACCCCAGTGGGCACCCGCACAGCAGCACCAGCTGGGCAGGGGGGAGAGCAATGCATTTCATTTCAGCCCTGCTGCCTCCATGGCATGTCAGAGTGCGTGCATATGGATTGAGGTACCAGCATATGGCTGCATGTTTATGGAGACAAGAAACATTTTCTGTTCTGTAGATTTTTATAGGACTGATTGGGTACACTGGAGCTTATCAAAGCACTGTCTGCAGGAGTCAGATCCACGACACTTGCACACACTCCCTCCCCACTCATTCACACCAGTGTGCAGTGCAACAGAGACACTCCCATAAGCACTCTGTCCCCACTCACAGATATAGCCCCAACCACTGCACCCCTTTGTGCAGCAGCTTCTCTCAGCTGAAGGTGACAGGCAATGAACAGAAAATTCACCCTTGGTGCTTTTTCAGTTTTTTTTTCTAGATTTCCTCTTTTGTACCTTCTGAATTCAAGGAAGCGAGGGGAAATCCTACAGGAAGATACCAAGCAGAATGATAGCTTTTAAGAGTGGAACAACTGTCTGGAGTAGTTGATTGCAAGAAGCAGTGGGACACAGAGGGCAGGGAGCATCTCCATGCCCTGGGCCCCCAGCAGTTTGCCTGCAGGTGCCCTTCAGCCTCACGGGATTGTGCAGATATTCTGACCCAACCTCCCAGCTTGCACTTTGAGCCCGGTTTAAACAACTTTGCCTGGCCATTGCCGGCCCCTGCTGGGGTCAGTCCCAAGTAGGGCAATGCAGGTGAGTGCTTGCCAGGAGGGATCCGGCCACATGTGCTGGGCATATGTCAGCCCCAGCACCGTGCACAGCCCTCGCCATGCTGCCTACCTGCAGGCACCCGCTGTGCACAGCAGGGCCCCGCCGCCCCGGGAAGAGCCAGGTCAGCACCACTGGCTGTGAGCCTGTAGATCAAAGCGGAGCGATCCCAGCCAGCCCTGAGACTGGCCTGCAGCTGGGCCGGGGTGGCTGTGCCAAGAGGAGGCAGAGGAAAAGCAGACAGATGGATGCCTGGGGCACCAGTGTGCTCCTGCAGGATGTTCTGCATGTGCAGCACTCTCAGCTGGAGTGATATTGGGATTGTTCTGCTGAACTGCACCCTCTGGAAATCCTTGCGGGGTGGAAATTGCACCCATAGGACATCCTCAGAAAGCACAAATCCTTGTGCTGGTTTCTTCCTGGACTAGTTTCTACTGAGCTGACACTAGAAATGCTGTTCTAGTCTGAAAGCTGCACCGTGCCCGTTGCCTGGCTCACTGAGCAAAAGAGCAGCCCAGAGGGGCTTCTGTTTCTATGCTGTTGCTGCAATGAGATGCCAGCCCCCCAGCCCCAGTCACCGTGCAAAACTTGAAGCAGAAGCAAGAAGCTCCCAGCCTGCTCCCTTCATGCGCTGGCGTGACCTGCACACCCCAGCCCCTGGTGATCGCATGCATCGCTCGGTGCCTTCAAAGCAGCTCGTGATTGATGTGTTTCCCTGACTCACAGGCTTCAAGAGGCTTTGAAGACACTGGGCCAGGCTCTGATCTTTCTTATGCTGATGCAAATCAGGAGCAATGCTGCTGACAACAGTGCAATAATCCACACTGATGTCAAGCCAGTAAAAATAAGAGCAGAAACAGAATTTTGGTCTTTCCACCGCCTCAAAGGCATCTGAGCAGTGCTGTGAAGAGCTACAAGACCTGCACAGCAGAGGACATGCAACTCATAGAAGTGCTCTTCTTTCCAGGAGCTAAGATGGAAAGGAGCACTGAAAATCTTTTCTTTCTTTCTTTTTTTTTTTTAATAGTTAATGAAGACTGAGAGTTCAGTAGTAAATAGAAGTTCTCAGCCAACAACATCTTCACAGCCAGGACTGAGCCTGGGGAAAGCCCCAGTGCCGCAGGTCCCAGCCTGGCACAAGCACACACAGATGTTTGCTCCTTGTCTGAGCATGGGGGAGTTGGGTCATCCCAGGGCAGAGCTGGCTGCAGGGCAGAGGCCAAGGCTGGGCTCCTCCTCTAGACCAGGCTGCTCGAAGCTCCTGGTCCCATGGGCTCCCATGTCCTGTGCTCACAGCTCCACACCCCTGTCTCCCCACAGGTCTGGTTCCAGAACCGACGAGCCAAATGGCGCAAGCGGGAGCGGTTTGGCCAGATGCAGCAGGTCCGGACCCACTTCTCCACTGCCTATGAGCTGCCTCTGCTCACCCGTGCTGAGAACTATGCCCAGGTGAGCAAATTTCCTGCCCCAATCCATCTGTCTGTTCATCACTGCCCTGCTCCTGGAGCCCCCGAAGCCATGCTTTGCTCCTGGGGTTCATCCCCTGCCCTCGTGTTGGGGTGCAGGAGCGTGGGGTTGTGCCATTGAGCAGCAAAGGAACAGCAGCTGTTCAGGTGAGTGCCCTGTAGTGCTCTTTTGAGCCCCATTGGATCACGGCTACCACAGCAGGCACCGAGCCCTGTTGGGCTTCAGATCCATCTGTGTTTCCCAAACATCCCATAAGGTCCAAGGTGTTGTCCTTCCCCAGGCCCTGATGTGTTTTTTTTCCTGTAGATCCAGAATCCCTCCTGGATTGGCAACAATGGAGCCGCCTCCCCTGTGCCCGCTTGCGTCGTTCCCTGTGAGCCGGTGCCCTCCTGCATGTCCCCCCACGCGCATCCCCACGCAGCTGGTGGTGTTTCCGACTTCCTCGGTGTCTCCAGTGCCAGCGGCCACGTGGGCCAGACTCACGTGGGTGGCCTCTTCGGTACGGCCGGCATCGGCCCCGGCCTCAATGGCTACGAGCTGAACAGCGAGCCAGACCGCAAGAGCTCCAGCATCGCGGCCCTGCGGATGAAGGCGAAGGAGCACAGCGCCGCGATCTCCTGGGCGACATGACAGGGCTGCCATCCAGCGCCTCGGCACACCGCGAGAGCCAGTGGGGAAGCTGGGAGACCTCCAGCCGGGACTCCAGCCAGCCCTTGCCTCCTCGGGGATGTGAACGCAGCACTTTGAGCTACCCTAGGTGTATAGAGGACGTGTGTTAACGTTAGTGGCGTGTGCCCAGCATGGACGAGGGAGGTCCCAGCCTCCTGGCACTGGGTCAGGGCTGTGGGGCAGCGCTGCTGCCCCCTACTCTGGGGGTGTCCTCTGCTATCGCCACTGCCTCCCCGGGGACTTGGATGCCTTTTCTCCCTGCTCCTTTTTCTGACACCAGATCTGCCTTTCCGGAGAGCAAGAGCCTACCAGCGTCTCCAGCAGCTGCCCCGTCTCTCCACATGTACAGCTCTTCCCTCCTCAGAACCCATCTGCCTTGCACAGGGGACGGGACGGGGACTCTGGCACCAGCAAAGAGACGCTCTTCAGGCTGCTCCTGCCTCATGGGAGCCATGGCTGAATGGGATGAGGGGATCTTCAAGGCCAGAAAGGTGGCAGTGCTATCCTACTTCCTTCCACCCAGCAGGAGGTGAAGTATGAGGCTTAGGGGCCTCTTGTGTGGGCACAGTGCCACCACTCTGCTGTCTTTGATGGCTCCCCACCATCCAGCTCAAGATGTGCATATGAAGTGATGGCTGCTTGGAACCTTGTAGAAGTCACACTGCCATGAGCACTTGAAGTTTGCTCTGTTATAGTTGTGGCTGTTGTGCTATAGCAAAATGTGTTCTCTGGCTTTTACAGGAGTCACTGCCCTCTGCTCTCAAGTCCCGCTGGGCCCCCAACAAGGAGCAGAGCACGTGGCCAGGACTGTGTGAGGGCATCCTCACATTGTCCCTAGCCTGCCCCATGCGGCAATGTCTCTTCCCCAATTGCCTCTCATTCTCTGCTTCCCCAAAACCACCTGCCAGCACCTACCCACACCTCTTCCAGGGGCTGGGGGAAGGCTGGGAATGGGGGATAGTGGCACTGCCCCATCTCTGGCCACTCCAGTTTGCCCTCACCAAGCAGACTGAAGGAAACACCAGAACTTGCTCTCTCTCCTAAAGTCCCACCCACGGTTTTCTCCCCACATGCTCCCACTTGCACAACTCTGTTTAGTACAGTCTCCTCTCCAAGGCCAAACCTCTCTCAAGCCGTTCAGTGGCGTCATAGCACCAAGAATAATTTTAGAGTTTCCTTCTGCCCCACCAAAAGGTCACCAGCAGCCATAGCACACAGCTCACACGCTGAGCTCCAGCTCAGTGAGCAAGAGAAGTGCAGGGTTTTGCCCCATACAGCCATCACATCACACTCCATCCACTCTAGGTCCAGAGAGATTTGCATCAAAGGGCTGCAAAAAGGCTACAACCAAATGTCACGATGCAGGATAACTGCATGCCATATAAAAATATTTCTACAATGCCTAGACATTGCCATACACTACATAGATGATTACATCAATGCTAGATCAAATGTAACACAGACTTATTGGAATATGGAAAGACCCATAGTGCTGTATCTTGTCTCTGAAAATACGTTGAGATGCCTGGCTCGGTGCACCTGGGGAACAATGTGCAGTCAAGCAGACTGTGCAGATGACCTGGGCTTTTCCACAGAAGCAAATCAGACTCACGTCCCAGCCTGAATGTTCAGCTGAGTTATCAGACTAAAATGTGCTTCAGGTGCTGATTACTGAATGGCTCTGGATCACTGCCCTAATATCTCTTTTCTGCATGCACTGGCAATAATGTTACAGTTTAAACTGCAATGAATACTACCATTTATCTCACCCCAGACTTCCTCACCCAGAGCCCTTTTCCTCCTAGTGCAGAGGGAAAGGCGTTATTCCACTGCAGTGCTCAGCCCCCAGAACTGAGCAGCATGCAGCAGGTTGAGAGAGTGCATGGGGATGGATGCTGCAAGGGCGTGGGTACTGCTGGCTGACCCACTGGGTGGCAATGGCCATGCTGGGGCTTTGCTGCACTATACTGAAGCTGAAGAGCATTCCTTCCTCGACTCTCACAGGGCCAGGATTTCACCCAAGCTGCATAATGGCTCATGAGATGAAGAGCTGCTTCCTCTCCTCCTCATGAATTGGCCTCAGACAACCCTAATCACTGCCAGGCATGCCCAGCCCTGAGCTGCTGGGTGCACTGCAAGTGCAGAGCTCTGCTCCCGTGCCCCATTCTGCTGCCATTCAGCAGCATAGCCCCTCTGCATCTGCCGTCCTGCTGCATTGTCCTGCCAGCAACAGCCTGGGCGTGCAGAGATGCAGGCAGGTCTAGCTGTGTGCATCTGTAGTTACACACATTTTTTAATTAATTTAATAGTTTTTTTTTTAAAAACTAGCTGTTAAATTAATAAGAAAAGCTGTACAAATATGTATATACACACACTTAGATATATGTGTGTGTAAATATATATATTTTAATCTAGCCAAATTGCAGCCAATGCATTTTTAAGGGTCACAGGGTCAGTGCTGTTCTTGCAATTTCAAGCTACCACAAGGATGCCTTTTTAAATAATAATAATTATTATTTTAATACCTTTCAACTGTATTTATGACTTTCTTCTCTATTTATTTCTTCTTTAGTATTTCACTCCTGTCCGTACACGGAGTTGCAGTTCCCTGGCTGGGATTTAGATGCCTGTGAAGCTGCAAGTTTTGCACCCCTCCTCCCCAGCCATGCTGTATCCTGCATGGTGTAGCACTGCAGCCTCAGCACCCTGAGCTCCCCTGCTCTCAAGCTGCCCTTTCCAGCCTTGCAGTGGGAGTAAAGGAGGCTGTCTCGCATTGCCCAGGGCTGGAAACACATGAGACATCCCAGATTTTGGGGCTAAGAAAGGCAAGCAGGGAGAGTAGCACAGTTCCCAACAGGGGCTGATCGGTAGTTGCGTGCTGCAGGCTGCCGAGCGCTCAGAGCAGTTGTGCATGTATTGGCAGCAGCTGCAAAGCAGTGGTGAGCATCCCATAGCTCCCCCAGTTGTTGTCCCCTCAGCCCTTTAACTCTTCTGAGCATCTCCCGCTGTGCGTGCTGGAGCACATCTGGCCCTGCGATACGGGCAGGGGCACTGCAGTAAAGCCACCCGCACAGACACCCGCTGTGCGCGAGGCGGCAGAGCTGCTGCACACGTGCGTGGCACCCCCTGCAGCACTCCCCTGGGGAGAGGGATGCGGGGGGCACTTCAGCAGCAGGGGCTTTCTGGGGGTGGGGAGGCCGGGTTCCATCTCATAGAGCAGAGCAGCGCCTTGTAAAACGCTCTCCAAACAAACAAAGCCAAAAAGGTAGTTTCCTGGAAAAGGATTTAAAAAACAATCGGGCAGACGCAGAGATCTGTGTTTATTTTGCTGCTCTGACTGACACAACAGAAAGCAAACAGACCGAATTAGGAATTAAACCCAAATGGGAACAGGGGGAGGAGTCGGGCTGAAAGTCATTCCCAGCCCTTGCTGGGCCGGAGGAGGCAGCCCGGCGCAGCCCGGCACCCCGCTAGCTCTTTGCTGATGCCCCACTCCCCACATTGCTAGGTAGGTAGGTAGAGCTAGGACTTTTGTACTACTGATTTTTTGAAGGACAGTTTTCAATGTGTAATAATATATCGGTTTAGGTGTGCAGTGTTTGAAAGAGAGACTGGGAGAAAGAAAACAAACCTCAATCAATATTATTGTTTTTGTTGTAAGATATTGTAACCTTGTATAAACGCAAACTTTTTTTTTTTTTTTTTTCCTTTAGCTTAAAGGCCTGGGGTAGAACATATTAAAACACAATTTAAAAGTTTTTAAAAGTTCAGGAAAAAAAAAAAAGAATAAAAAAAAAATCATTAAAAACATTGCCATGTGAGGTTTGTGCCATGCAATGTTAATGCCTATGCAGCCATGTATTAGCAGTTCATTACAGTGGAACATTAAAAAAAGAACAAACAGACTTGCAGCTTGGTCCTTTCCATGTTTTTTCAAAGTAAGTTATTGCACTTGCAGCTTCCATTTTATTTTGTTTGTTTGTTTGGGGGGAGGGGAGGGCTGGGATTTCCGGGCACTAATTTTTATTTTTCCAGTTTTTTAAAGGGGTGCAATTGCTGGGAAGGCCCCCGCTCCCGAGCCCCCGTGGCCGCGGAGGTACAAGCACTGTTGTTGTTGTTTTGGTTTGCAATAAACTCCTTCTCTTCTCTCCTCTCAACTGGAATCTGTCTGTTTTGTTCCTGACTCATGACAGATGAAATGCGATCAGAGGGGCCTCCAAAATCTCACGTTAATTGAAGTTGGCAAAAAATACTAACAGTGCCCTTTTGAACTGCTGACACAGTGCAGAATGGATTAGCCGGGGGTAGATTAACAACAGGTGGCAGCTCATGGGCCCGCTGCCCCTGCCCTACAAACAGACAGCCGCCAGCCCGAAGCCTGGCGCAGCAGCATCCCGACAGCCTCCCCACGTCCCCACCAGCCCACATGGGGACTTGCTGGGCTGTAGACAGGCTGAACCCCTGGGCTCGGCCTCTCCCTCAGCCCCAGAGGTTCTCAGCACACACCCATTCCTATGTCCCATACCTCCTCCTAATGTGGGGAAAACTCCACAGCACTGGAGGAAGCAGATTGGGTAAAAGCTCAAGCCCCCACATCCAGCTTTGTACCAGGATGTGCTCCCTGTGCAGGCAGAGCTGAGGAGGTACCCAGCAAATACCAGCAACCCACTGAGAACAACCAAGCTTTCCATCAGCTGGCGGGGAGCACCAGCTCTGTTCAGCTGGAGCAGGGCTGTTTTCCATCTCACAGAGAAACGGATAACGCAGGTGCTGTTGCAAGCTTATCCATTCCTCTCACTTGCAGAAGAAAAATTCCTTCTCTCCCCAAGCGCTCAAAGACAGATTCTCCAGATGTTGGCAAAGCTCTGACTATCAAGAGAATAAAGCCAGTTTCAGTAACATCCTGCTTGTATGGGTTTACATCAGAAATCGCTCCTGGCCTGCATGCTGCCAAAGAACTAAAAAGTCACCCCATTAACTCTACAGATGAGAAGCCCACCACCTTTTGCTGAAGCTACATTTTCCCACTAGCTTTACAGGAGTTGTTTAAAACACACGGCAACATTTCTTGCTGGGAGACGTGGCTACAGCACCCAGGTTAACACGTTCCTTACCTGCTGGAGAATATGACTTTGAGGCAGGGCAAAGTTCAGGCAGTTTTAATGAAAAACAATTCTTTCTTCCTGTAAACTAAACAGATTTGCCATTTTTTTCTTCCTTTTTTTAAAAGCGGGTTATTAACCTTTAAGCAGATGTATGTACAATAATCTTCTCTGGCATGAAAGGTAACAGCCGTGCAAGGTGCACCTATTTATGACCAGATGGAGCCCACATGTAAAGGTGTTGCATTTAATCTGAGGCAAACAAGTGTTTATTATTTGTGAAAGGATCTTCCACTTTCGCCTGCTTGTCAGTTCGTAACTTACTCACAGGGCAAAGACACATGCTCTGAGTTAGCAATGAGCTCCTTTTGCTGCAGCCTCACTGAATTCCTGGATCTCATTTCATGGTCCTTTCTGCTTCCAACCTTTTCCCCTGTCTGTCTTTGTATGAAATGTGGCAAATGGGGTATTGTTCCCCACCAGCCCTCAGCTGTAGGCACCCAGAACTATCTCTGCATAGCATGCAGCTGAGACCTGGCCCTCTCTTCTGAAGAAAGGTGTCACAAAGAAAGGCCAGTGACTTTTCAGATGGCCAGACCATCAGGCAAGAAGCTGCATTTCTCTGGACTATCATCTTTCTAAGGGACTCATCTTCCAGATGAACGGTAGAAAGTGAGATGCTCACCCTGGGCAGGTGAATGCCCATAAGCAGCACTTTACCATCAGTCCAAGCTTTGTCATTAACTTCCCAGGTTCTCACTGCTGCACAGAATGGAGGCGGGGGCAGAAGAGCTAAGATTCGTCCTTAAAAGCAACATTAACAGCAACAAACCTCAATCGCACACCAGACAAAACTTACATGGTTCTGTATATTCCAAGCTTTTCACGTCTGTCTGTCAAATGGCCCAGCTTTCATCTTTTTTCCAGTCCTCCAACCAATTGATATTTAGGCTAAAAATCCAAGAGATGATATAATTCTTCTAGTATTTTCTTATAATTCTGCAGAAATAGTCACAACACAAATTATTTCTCCTTACAGATACTTCATTCCCACCTGCCCATCTTACCTGCTGTCTTTCCTGTTCGCACAGCCTAGTACTGAGCACTGATTCAAGACTATAGACTTAATGAAACCATGACCAAGTTGCACTGATCTTAGACCACAGTTATTGTAGAGCTGTCATTCTAGACTGAACAGGAACACTTCCTATTTAGGCAAGAAAACAGGCAAGTGGAACGAGTAAGAAAAATTTGAAGTGGAATTACTGGATCCTTTTCCAGACAAATGAAAACAGTAAATAGGCAACCTTGCAGTGAATACCTTTGAGCTGTGCTGTCTAATTTCAGTCGGAAAACTCCCTGTGTTCTGCTAGCTCCACGCCACTCCACTTAATTGCATCAATTGTCACTGTTATCCTTTAATGGGAAACATAACTCACGTTCAAAGCAACCGTGAGAAGCTGCAGACAGGAGAATCCTGAAGATCAGCAGAGGTGGGACTGCATTACAGCCTTTTCCATCAGGCTGAAATTACACAGAAAGCACCAGGAATGTGTCTAAATGGCTTTAAGCCAGAAGAGGGTGAAGCGTGCTGACACTATAAGTCAAGGCTAGCGGTCCTCTACCTTGGTATTGAGCTACTCAAAACTCTAAACAAATATCTCAGACAGTGTAGCAAATTTGCTAAAACAGAGGCTTAGGATACTGGTGTTCAACTCTACTTTTACCCACACAATCTCCTAAGGCCGTGGGTACACCACAGCTTCTCTCCATTTGCTTATCTACAATCACAGAATCACAGAATGGCCAGGGCTGGAAGGGACCTCAAGGATCATCAGTCTCCAACCCCCTTGCCACTTGCAGGGCCACCAACCTCCTCATTTAATACTAGACCAACCAGGCTGCCCAGGGCCCCATCCAATCTGGCCTTGGACACCTCCAGGGACGGGCATCCACAACCTCTCTGGGCAGCCTGTTCCAGCACCTCACCACTCTCTCTGTAAAGAATTTCCCCCTGACGTCCAACCTAAATCTCCCCTCCCTCAACTTAAAACCATACTTAAAACCATACAATGCTGAGTAAGATACTGGTCTTATTCAAGCAGGAGGAGCGCGATGCTCCATTTATTGTTCTGCTCATACAGCAGTGGTGTGCATCACAAAAACAGCTTGCACTACGTATTTGTATGCTCACAACAGCATGAGATACAACCAAAACACTCTCAACTCATCAGTAAACTAAAAGGCTTCTATTTCTGCTAAGCAAGTGCACATTTCCATGTATACCAAGGTTTGCAAGAGGGTTGAAGTGACCACCTGCTCACAGGATAACTTCCAGGTGCTACAGACAGACACAAGGACAGAAACAAATTTTCTGGGCCTAATAGTTAAAAAAAGAAGTCAATATAGGTGGAATACTGTCTAGTATTTACTCTGCTCTTCTCAACTTTTTGAAGACAGTTAGCAATTGGACCATCTCAGTTTCCAGCACACATTTCTTCTACAATGGCTTTGCAGAACTTTCTTTTTCCTTGCTCTGAGTACATGGAAGAGACTTATGACTGCAAGAACTACCTGTATAGCACAGACGGAGCTAAATTTGTTTACAAACAAATTAATGTGCTTTGCAGTAGCTCCAGCAACATTTTAACATGAGAATCATTAAGAATTATGAAGAAATTCATACTCACTCAGTCTTATCTCTGGCTAAGGCATTTAAAATCCTTCCTCTCATTGGGACTGTTCTTCCTGATCAAAACATGTTCTACCTGTTGTAAGTATGCAAGTTACAAGACACTCATTATGGAGCTTTCAACACAGGGAAGAACTAACTGCTGCAGTAACTAGTGTTTGAACTGCACCACCAGAAGCAAGATGGGCAACAGGACATTCAAGAGCAGGAGATGGCAAAAGAGAACAATGACTGTTAGGGCTTGAATTGGCACATCCTGCAACGAGTCAGTGGGGCTGTGAGGAAGGAAAGAGTCAGTACACCACAGGGAGAGTTGGTGATGCTAAAAATATACTCTTAAGACTTACCATGACTGGGAGGGCACACGGTGTGGTCCATCACACCCCTCTCTACGCACAGGTAGGAAGGTGTATCGTTCATAGGCCCTTTTGCAGTATGCTCGGTACGGAATGTGATGGAACAAAGTGCTGCTCCCACACTGAATTCCACCATTATGACGATCCAGCCAAAGCTCTATTCTTGAAATCACAATTCTTCAAAATATGCTGTCTCTCTTCACAAAAAGAGAAAGGGTCTGTTCCCTATTCTCCAAAATAAATGCTACCGTCAAATCTTGGCAGAAAATAAGAGTAACAACGATTTGTTCAAAGAAGGTGACTGGGATATATTCGTGCAGAGCAAACTTCTGCTCCAAAGAACCATCCATTCTGCTTATGGGCAAGACAAAATACAGACAGGTCTTGATGACATACATGGTGCATATTCAAGTTCAACATAGACTTGTGCAGCAGAATAGCCCAGCACTGCAATTCTCCCTTGTAAATGTATTCATATTTCCTAATGCATACCAATGCAGCTCTGAAAGTGAAATACAACAAATGCTCCTCGGATTTACCTTTTATATACCAATATTAAACTCTTTTGATAAAATATATACAATGAAAAGTTAACAGTGATCTTAATTTAAGGACTAGCAATAAAACCATTCCAGTTACATAGGTACATCTTACCTTTATAGGTTTAGCATCAAGAACAACAAAACAATTATAAATGAAATGAGGAAGTAGGTAATTTTACACTTTTTTTTGTCTTCAGTCAATTGCCCAATTTTCTCCATGGCATCAGCAGAGAAAAACTACCATTTAAGTGAGACAGCCCTATAAAAGCAACAGTAAGTTGCTAAAAGAAAAAAAACAACAACAACAAAAAAAACCTGGTACAAGTTACTGGACGTTTTGAGGACAGAGAATCCACTCTGACACTCTGGGATGCAGACACAAAGACCTGCTGCCTTTTAACTGACCTGAGACCACAGACAGGTTCAGAAGGGTTGGTTAGGCTGTCCCCACCCAAAAATATTCAACCAACCAGTTGAAATTCTCCATGACTTTTTACACTTTGAGCAAAATGCATAATACTGGTATTCCTTAAGAAGAAGCAAAAAATCACAGCAGCTTCACAACTCTGTAGAAGGAAGATGTAACAAATCAGTTACACTGCTAAGCTGAGATCAGCCCCAAAAGAAAGACTAAAATTCAAGTGACCACTACTCTGTCACAGCCACCCTTTTGAAGAAAATTTCTCAGAGGAAATATGCTGTTATCTCTTGATGCTCAAGCACCAGGACATAAACCGACAGAAAGATGCCGAAAGAAACTTCACAAACACACAAGACTGCAAAGGAGAAATAGAGAACAGACATTCCTATATCTTGTGATACCCACTGTGCAGCAGCAGATGTTGTCACTGCTAAAGCTATCCTCCTAACTCCCTAACATCCCTCTTACAGCAAGTCAGGAATGAAACAAAGACTACAGTGAAAAACATTTACTAGTAATTAAACGTTCCCAGAGATTTGGACGATGCAGTTTACAGGCACGTCCCAGCAGAGTTATGAAGTGAAGCATCCCCTCAGAGCTATTGTTCCAATATGATTTTCATTCACAGCATATCCACTGCGTTGGGCAATAAGATAAGTCTTAGTGGGGGTGAGACAAATAGGAGCAGATGTTTCCTGTTTCTTGCCTGACTTTCATTTGGTTTCTGTCATTGCTGCCTACCCAGCTTAGGAGAGGGGGTGAACTGTGATGCCTAACACTTGTCCTATTGTTTGAGGTTTGGCAAAATCTGAGAAATAAGGTTGCTCACAGTGGAATGGAAAAATGGCCCATCGAACAGGCTAACCCTGTAACTGGCAGCAATGGACATTTCAAAAAACCAGTTAAATCACCCTTATCTGGTAACAGACATTTTATCTGTGGAGCTGGAAAAGAGATTCTTTTCTCAGCCCAACTTGAGATCATCTTTAATATCAAAGGACAAGAGGCAATAGTCCAGGCAATTTTATTTCCAATTTTACTGAATTTAGTTTTCTAATTCAAGTTAATTTCAGTGCTGAGAAATATTACCAAGGCTTGTAAGAAAGGTAAGGGATCTCCTAAGCCCTATGTTTCAATGGCAGCCTGCAGCAAGGGGTTCTTTAGTTAAATTAGAAACTAAGATCCAGCAATTTTTTTCCAGCAGGTTACAGTGTGCATTAATAGTACCTTGCACATGCACATATCCCTGCACATTAAAGCTGTGAGAATTTCTGAAAATTGAAGTGGTTTACAAATCAGTATTAAAACAGACTGTTTGCTGAAGAGAACTCAGACATTAAAACTTTCCTTTATAGCTGCTGTTGCAACATATGACTGTGATGTAAAATTGTTACCTGGCTGCTCTGCTGAATAATGAAAAGCAAATATATAGTAAGATTAAAAGACATATTTCTCTCTGTATAATACAACTAGTTTTGACATACAGTCCCAGTCTCTTGCATTGATGCAGCAGAAAACCTGAGATTTATGCAGAAAGGAAGGCTACAGTAAATGGAGTTGTATCCTGCAGTCTCTGCATTAAAGACCATCCTGCTGTGTGCCTCAATTTGCATAAAAAAGTAAGAAAATGCTTTTTTAAACCATGTAACAAAATACTGATTTTTGTTGTTGACGCTGTAAAAAAAATAAACATTTGTCCCACTAACCAGAAAAAAAAAATGTTTGTTACATAGGTACGTATGCCCAAAATTAAGCAGAAGACCACCAACCACCCAGAAAATAAGCTCCTCCCAAAAGCACACCTATACATGCACAGACAGTTGCTTCAGATAGATGGATGCTTACAAACCAGAGGGCCATAGCACATTCAATGGAAGAAGACAGTCACGTCACAGAGGGAAATTCATTTTTATTCTCCCAGGTGCACAGCCTCCTTTGTTGTTTGTTTGAAATTTCTGGTAGGACTTGTCAATAGATTCACTCCTCTACGAGCAACAGAGAAGGAGTCGTTCAGCTTTCCACTACATCTTAGTGCAATATAAAAGGAGGACAGTGCACCAGAATACATTAATTGCCATCTCCCTCAGATGTAACTCACTCTCTAACATTTTTTTTTTCTTTCAGATCCTTCCATTCTTCTTAGTACTTCTTCTGCTGGTGTTTTCAGTGCTCAGGTTTGTCTCACAGCTGCCTTTACAAGCTGCCAATATTGGGAAAGCTCTTCAGTTTCTCAGGAAAGTCATCTTTATACAGAACAGGGTCAGCACGGTGCTCCACCACTTTTAGAGGCATGGTCCCAAAGACAGAGGCAAACTTGTTGATGCATTCAGATCTGGTAAAAGGGAAAGCAGTGTGATTAAGGATCGCAACAACCAGGTTGGTTACCAGCTCCCACACCAACATAACTTGTAGAAAAACAAGTCAGTAACTTTCCCTCATGTGTTTAGAAGTATTTTAGCCATGTTGGCTAACAGTAAATAAAAAGAGAGCCTCATCACAGAGAGAACTGAAGAGAAGTTGGTGTTCTTTGATTTATCCATTTAATCACAGAGAAGAGCAAGGGGATGCCGGCAGCAGCACATGTGCACATGGAGGTCAAAGCTTCCCCTTTCCCTCCCCCTAGAATTCCAGTCATTCTTCAAGCAATGTACATGCTGTAAACCAGAACAGATTAACTGCCAACATGTCTCTTAAAGGGCCACTATTGGGTTGGTTTGGCTCATAACGAGAGTTTTTGCAAAAAAGCAAGCCTCTCTGAAAATGAATTTCTACAAAAAGTCTCCTTTTTTTTCAGACTTCTTCAGAAGCTTCCCAGAAAAATAAGCATGCCTCATTCTATATGTGGCACTGATTATACTGTAACTCAAAGGTAAAGCTGAATAAAAACTAAAACAAAATCAACTAGCTTATTTTCCTTGTCAAAATAATGACATCGAGCAGTGAGGCATCACGTTAGCACAAAGGAGATCACTGATGATCACTGACAATACTTCCAGTTTTAATAATTTCAGGTGTCAGTACTGCTGTGAAAAGGAGCAGCCATGTGCTCCAAAAGCCAAGCAAACAGATGTTTAACCTTACAGTGCTCCTTTAGCTCTTTCACTGAAAGATGTGCTACCTGTGGCAGCAAGGCAAGGAAAACGTGGCTAATCTCACCTCAGTCAGCGCTCAGCTAGCATTACCTGCCTACTTCATAATGCAGCTCTTAAAATTTTCAGACACTGAGAGCCATGATGACAGTCCCCAAGATGTAGTACTACAAGAACATTTCTACTGCCATTCAGAAAGGAAGGGAGAGGAGTGCTCTGACTCAGCTGGAGAGGCTGCTGTGCTGCAGGCGGTCCTGCAGCAGGCCTCTCTCTCTGCAACCACTGCTTTCCCTCCCGACCCCTTCGGAGGGTTAGGGGGTCACGATGGCTCCAAGATCACTTTCCTGAACAGACCCAGTCAATCACAGCAAGTGAGTGTGACAGTTTTGTGATGGAGACTGCTCAACACTGATCCAAACACTCTTTTGAAGTAGACTGGGACAGCGAAAGTGCCTTTCAAAATTAATTCCTCTGCCTCTCAGCCATTCCATGGCTCTCTCCTTAGCTAGAGCAAATGACTGAAAAACACAAAGTTCAAGTTGCTGAAGATCTACATCTCCACACAGCTATTTTTAATCTCCTCCCTGGCCTGAGGAGAGTCAGAAAATGACGTAATGGGTGACACATGAATAAAACACTTAATACAAACAAATACAGATATTTCCCTTTCTGCTATCTTCTCATGTCCTCACACTTCTTCCTACTCTACCTCTGGGTTCAAATCCTTGTGCTAGAAAATAACCAAAAAGGAGCTCAGAGAGGAAGAGGAAACCATGCAGAGGCAAACTGCAGTCAAAGATGTTTCATAACAGGAAAGCCCAGACTTCACAGGCTAGGAGGTAGATGTGCATATGAGAAGCCTGCACAGCTGCTGTGCCTCACTGGTTTCTGGAATACAAGGCCTTTTACTTCTACTCCACTGGTTCTAATCTGCCTCTGCCAAGAATGACTGAAAGACATTGTAATGTAACAGCTGCTTGGTGGCCTGTGTGAAATGAATTAGTTATCTCAGCCTGCTGCCAGGTTGGCAGGTGTCCATGTCACAGCCAACATTGTCACAGGCGGAACTAAGCAGCATCCTCTGAGCAGAACATAAAACCAATTAGACAGTGGAGATCCAACTGTTCCCTTCTCCCAGAGGTCACACAACTAAACTGAATTTGAGGTCTTGGAGAAATAAGACGAT